AAGATTACTTTTGCTATTATTTTTAATCGCATCATTAAGAACGATCAATTTTTATGTAAATAAAGCGTGGGTAATGCTCCGCAAGGAATTTATAATTCTTTAAGAAAAATCCATGAGAAGGTGAGGTTTTTATTTCTTTGTTTATTTTTGTTTTTTAATGGTCTTTGTCAGAAAGATTCATTTAAGTGGACCTTTTTCTACATGTCTGAACTCCTCTTTTTATGAGTAATAATATATACGGGTCGTTTCTTGTTTATAATGTAGTTACTATTATCCCACATTTTTTTAGTATTATCAGAGTTAGTTAATACTGAATTGTAGTAAAGTTCATGATAGTACTTATTTATGGAAACTACTTTGTCCCAATACAATTTTTATTTGTTATACCATGTTAAATCATGCGTTAAGAGCCAGTTTTTGTAAAACTTATCACACGTTTTCATAGAGCTTTTTATGCCAGACGTTATCCAAGGCTTAAAGGATTTATTTCTAATGTTCAAAATTTTAAGAGGGGCATGTTTGTTACTTACTCTATTGAATTTTGCAGAATCTAGAGAGGCTCTCATTACAATCATTACTGTTTAAAACTAACTCCCAATTTTTCTTCTTAAGATCGGCCGATAATGATGTCATAACATGGAAATTTGTTATTATAGTTAGTTGTTTTGAAGAATGCCCTCAATATACAGTTTCCCATTGCAGAATTTGGGTCGCTTACAGCTCTCCAAGACGTATATATTTATTCAAATGTATTGTATGTTTATTTACTTAGTATTGTCATTGTCATACGTTTCATACATGAGCTTCTGGCTCGGATGATTAGGGCAACCCCATCCCACGTACTGATGTTAGTAAATTGATTGATTGATTGATTCCGTCACGGCAGCAATATTTTTGTTGGTCATTGTCATGTAATATCTGCATGAACATGGAAAGAATTTGTCAAGTCTTTTATTCAGGTTGTCAACGGCAAACGTAGTAAATGGAGTGAGCGAAAGGTGTTGGTTCGTTTTATTTTCAAAGGACATTAGTGCGAGCATTTTTCATTATACATGATTTGTATAGGAAATTTTGTGGTTTGAAGTTTGTGTATGGTGTGTATTTGGAATTTGTGTTCCTGAGTTTTCGCTTGTGAAAGTACTCTGTTGACTACATAATGGCAAAATTCGAAAGTTAATTTGCAATTATCCGCCCAACAATTGATCAGTATTTCCATTTATCCCATTCAAACAATGTTGAAAGCTGGATACAAAGGGTTTGAGTGGAATAAGGGATTGCTGGTTAATTGATGACATTGATACCTCGAGGTTGAAAGCATAAGGAAAAAAAGATTTCTTTTGTGTTTTTCTACCAACATTATTCTATTAATTACTGGTGGTAGTTACCTTACATTGTTCTGGAAAAAATTACCTTTTATGAATGTAAAATGAAGAAGGCTTTTGAATCAACAAAAATGTCGAGGTTAAGCATATAGAAAATGAAAACCTAAATCAAAGTTTGACTGTTCATTGTCACTTTTTTCGTCCCCATTTGAAATATTAATGTCATATTCTTCAACGGTTTCAAACAAATGGAAACAAATGTCAGCCTCTCTGACTCCATTGTCAGTCAATATTTGCGTAATTGTGGATTGCAGCATTTCTTCTCCAAAATAGTCATATTGGAGTTGTTAAAATAGCTCTGAACATTAACATATCTCTTCTGTTCGTTTGGAGTTAGGGGTAGCTGCTTCTTTCATCGCATTGATTCCTTTGCTTTTCATTGCTTTAAAAAGCGGGCGATGTCTTTGATCAACCAGTCTTGAACTTGACGCTCATGGTTTTTGCCTGGGCAGAATAACAATGGTCAACCTTGCTGCAAATAAACGGTTTGTTGTTTTTGTATTCTTGCATAAGAAAGATTACAAAAATGTCAGTTCACCGTCTCTGTTGGGCACCTCCATTTCATTGGTCCTGTATATCATGCTACGTTGATGTAACAATAATTGATTCTGTATTCCCGCAAATGCGTGTCTTGTTATCTGTTCAGAGAGCAATTCACTTTGTAACAACTGTCTGTTTCAGTCTTCTGTGAGGGTTAACAAGGCTGTTTTCTCAATGCTTCGCCCAGCTCTTGTTACAATATTTAATTGAAAGCAGGTATCTGGTATGTGTTAATGTTATGCATGGTTGTCTATAGCCTGGAACCAACTAATTTAACTATGGTAATGAGGCTGTCCCAATTGTGATCTCAGACACAATCTCAGACAGAAGTTTTCATAGGGCTCTCTGCGAAAATGCTTAGTGCTTTGATATAGGGCATAAACAATCTCTCAGTTTTTACTAGGGCCATTTTTTAACTCCTGCAATATCCCAGTGACTTTCCCAAATTTTGCGCGAAGACTATTTGAATTTGCAACAAGTGGGAAAGTCTGTTGTGGGATGTGTTCATGTTGATGCAGAAACTTCAGTTGCGCTGGCAAGCAATGTTCAATCATTGTATAACGTCAATAGGGAAGACACTTTATGGAGGGAACTGCATGGGTCGTATGTACAGCAGGGAGAGTTGGCTTTGGCAATGGTGCTATTGTTGGACAAGTCAGTTCTTCGTGTGTGTGGTTAGAAATTGACTGCTTAACTAACAAGGGCAATAAATGTGATTGTTTATCGTGTCATGAAGAGAACATTTATAGGATGTCGTATTTTCAAAATATGCTCCAACAGACTGTGTAATTTTACTCAGCACTACAGGTATCATACTATAGGTGACAAAGTTTTATGATGAAGATTGGGGTACACTTGAGTATTTTATTTACAGAAGAAAAACTGTTTGACAAGAAGTTGTTGTCAAATTTGGAATTTGAGATTCTTCTGGGAAAACTGAGCTTTAAAGAAAAAGCAGATATCTACAACGTGTTTCATGGTGGTGATGACAGTGCATGTGACAGTGATGAAGAGAGTGAAAATGGGGAAGAAAGTGGTGGAGGGTAAAGAGATTTTATTTTAACTTCTCTTACATAGGCTAGCGATTGACATTTTGCATTTTGTTATTTGTAAGGTTAATTTAATTTTGTTGTTTGAGTAGCAAGCAGATTGGCAATTCATCAAATGTAAGTAATTTATTGTGAATTTTGTTGAATTGAACGATGGTTTCTGGCTGTTACCCTTTTCATCTGTGAAGGCGGTTCTTAGTAGCAGGGGATGTAACTGCTGGATAAGTAATTAAGGGTGATGTTAATTTTTGTATCTAACACCCAAGAACAATAGCCACCTCTAATCAGGCCCCCTCGGGAAAAGTAGTGCATTCATTTGCATCTTTATTTTTTGGGTTAAGTTGAAGTTCTAGAATTATTTAGTCACTTTTTTAGTTTCACCTAGTGGAGGTCATATCGTGCAGTTTTCTTCTACATCAGCAGAGTTTTCTTTCTTCATAGTTGACAGTGCTACACAATGTAAGTTTCAGTCTGTGATTTAGTTTCATTTTTGGTTTGTTTTGTTGCTTGGTAGTAGTTTTACATTTTGAAAGTTTATAATTCAGTTTAAACCAACCAACGATCTAACAAAGCCATTATTATCAACTTCATCGATATCCATTCTTGTTGTTGAGGTTGAATGCTGTCGCATACGGGAAAGAAACGTCACCTTCAGCAGTTACATTAATGTTATGTTTCAGGCAACTGAAAGAAGAATTGCATGGGTGTTGCAATGGTAAATAAGATAAATGAATAAATAACAATTTAGAGCTAGCACTTCCACTAGATGGTTCTTCACCTACTTGATTTCTGGTCAAATTGGACTTTGGAAATGTTGGTTTTTGAGGAGAGGGGAAAACTGTAGTACCCAGAGAAAAACTTCTCGGAGCAAAGGAGAGAACCAACAACAAACTCAACTCACATCTGGTGTCAACACCAGGACTCTAACCCAGGACTTATTGGTGGGAAGCGAGTGCTCTCACCACCGTGCCATCCTTGCTCCCCAAGCTGGATTGAAGGAAATCAGAAGAGGGCCTACTTCTTTTTTGGTGTTTGAAACGCATTCAGCAGTATAATTTGAAGAAACTGTTATCCTCTCTTATCTGGATGGCCTGATCTCTGTTATTAGTTCACTTTTTCATGATGCTTTTATAAAGAAGTGGATCTGTAAGTTGCTTCATATTGATGTGAAGTATACATGAAATAATTCATTTTGAACTGCGGTTGTAGATGAAAGTGAAGAATGATCATCGCAGTAAATTTTCCAATTTAAGCAATTGGAAAGAAGAAGCCTGAAAAAATCAGGGCTTCAGCGGGATTCGAACCCGTGACCTCTGCATGACCTCCGCATCAATAAATTGTCCTCGCTCCCAATGTGTGGCTTCATAGCTCAGTTGGTAGAGCAATGCACCGGTAATGCGGAAGTGACAAGGGAATGCATTGACTAAAATTGACAGAAAAATGGATGGATTCCGCTGAGCTACATGATGATGTTGGTGAATGTTTCTCAGAAACTAACCCCTCTACTTGTCCAGATTTCAATGATTTACTCTCTAAATACGTCTATCTGAAGGAAATCTTTGATACTTTTTCCCTATTCAATCTCACTGGGTAAGACATCTCCCCATGCTCCATGTGGCAGCAATAACCATTGACAGGTTGAACGTGAAAATCAAGTGAAGCCATAACCGCTAAAGGCATGCCACAAAAATTGGAAAGCCCTGTCGCATGCAACCGTTGATAAAGGGAAACAAAAAGCTGAGGATTTAATACAAAGGCAGAAGGCAAACAATTGGGAACGGGAAAACTACTCGGCAACCCTAAGCAACAAAAACTATGTAAAAAAGGCAGGCGGTGAAAAAGATGAAGCTTTATCACTAAATGGGCTTATTCGGGTGTGTCCAAACTGCTCACCCCAAAAGTTGAAAGATCAGAACTGCCATTAAACCAAGGGTCCACACTAAACTGACGCTGCACACAAGAACTAAAAGGTCTAGATACGTGCAAAAATTCATCCAAAACTGAGTCAAGTTCACCATCTGGCAACACGCAAGAACTAGAAATTCTAGAGTCACGCAAAAATTCAACCAGTGCTGAGGTAAGTCTACAGTCCTGCTGCACTCACGAACAAGAAAGTCTAGAGTCACGCAAAAAAGTGAGTGAAGTCTAGAGTCTGGTGGCACGCAAGAATGAGAAAGTCTAGAGTCGTGTGAAATTTCATCCAAAACTGGATGAATTTCTACAAGTCTTGAGTCTTGATTAAATTCCATGAATGCTTGGGTAGTGTCGGCCAACACAGTTAAAAAGTTGTGTGTAAGGAGAGCTTTCATTCAATAACGAAGGTTGTCAAGCAAAATAAGGCTAGAGTCTTGCAACAGAGAGGAGAACAATGATCCAAGTTCATGAGAGAGTCAAACTTGACTATCTGTGGAAGATGTCATCTGCTTACTGTTATGGATGAACAGGGGACACTCTTTAATGAATTCTGATTGATGTGTGAGAACCCGCAAGTCAACCCAGCACCGGGCAGAAATGTGCTGAAACCATTACATTCACCACGAGGACTGCCAAAGTGATCCTTCTGATGTTTACATGTCCCATGCTGAAAATCACAACAGAAGAATACGGATGTAGGATTGTCTGCGCGTGGAACTCCACTTCCTAAACATGAACATCTTGGGAGTGATTGTAAAATGCGAGATTCCACCCCACTTTACTCTAACACATTGTATCTCGAAAAGTACAGTGGCATGCAACTCGTGCACTGACTACCAACTATACTGAGTAGCCAACTACATCAAAACTGTCAAATGGTTGATAGATGCGTGAAGTTCCAAAGGAGAAAGGGTGGGCAATGAAAAATAGCGGAATAGCCGGCAGCAAGTTCGGCCAGCGATAAATCATCGTACTTCTTATTCTTGGAGATGAAGGATACACTAAGGTGGCTGTGGGGCCATAACTGGGGGGAAAGAACTCTCCTTGTTAATTTACAGTCTTTGGCTGTGATGAAGGTAGGCGCCTACCTCTAGAAATGGGAAGGTTGTCCTTTTCGTCATTGTCCTCATCAGGAGATGAAGCATCCGGGGTAAAAATTTGTTTACCTGAGTAGAAAGGGATTTTTTGGACCTCAAGTCCTGAATAGTGTGCATTGGCTGACTGTCCTCTGGAGAAAGTTCCGCACCGCCAGGAAGTGAAGGAGTCCGGTCTCAGAGTTGGTCGAGTTGATCATTGTGAAGACAAAGCACCTGCAACTCCTAACGCATGGGCTCCAGTTGAACCGTTTTCTCCAGGACCTTGTTCTCCTCTTTGGCCCGAGTTTTCAACTTTTGGAGCTCAGTAAACTCCTCTCCTAGGTCCGATGTCTGAGGGGCTGGTGCTGCATCCCTGGGGCTGCTCAAGACTCCATAATATCGTAGACTTGAAACTGTAATTGTTTTTGCTATTCAATAAAGCGTAGTCTGGTTGATTACTTGGACGAAGAGAATATCCTGATTGAGACATCACACCAGAAATCAAAGGATTCGACTGTGCAAGCTCCAGTTGTTATAATCACGACCTGCTAAGAAACTGACAAATCCTGTTGTGACACAGCTATATATACTGGTCTATATATCAATCAACAACTAACCCAATGCTACCACACTTAACTGCCCATTCATGAATCACTTGA